TACAAGACATTTGCTGGCACCAATTGGGGAAGGCTAGTTTAAGTAATCGAGAAGACTGATCTTTTTTTCTTTCAAGAAAGAACAAGGCAAATCTTTATTCTCATTACAATTCTAAACTAAGAATACACTTGAAGAGTGATTGAAGCCCTATTTATAACTCATTTGGAAGAAAGAGGGAGGGGGAAATTGTGGCTTTTTAGATGTTGCTAACCTACAATTCCTAGCAGTGCCTGCCAGCATGACTAATGCTGAGGAAGGCCGGAAGTTGTAGCTCAACAAAATCTGGAGGCCCACATGCTGCAAACCCACCTCGCAAACTGTCTGACATCACTAGGAAAATTTTTACATGCTTGAAAATCCAGGTGTTCTCCATGCATATAGCAATATATACCTGGAAATGGCGTCCACACATGGTGCAAAACCTTGATCACGCAAGCTACAAAAGAGAGCAAGATAGGTGAAACTTTCCACCTATTGCTCTAACAGATTAACAGAGTTGGAAGGGACCTTATAGGCATCTTCTTGAAAGTCTCAAGTGATGAAGCTCCCACAATTGTTGCATTGATTGTTCTCACTGTCAGAAAATTTCTCCTTATTTCCAAGTTGAATCTCTCCTTGATCAGCTTCTATCCATTATTCCTTGTCTGGCCTTCGGGTGCTTTTAAAAATAGGTTGACCCCCTCCTCTCTGTGGCAGCCCCTCAAATATTGGAACACTGCTATCATGTCTCCCCTGGTCCTTCTCTTCACTAGACTAGCCCTGCCCAGTTCCTGTAACCATTCTTCATAAGTTCCCTAATCATCCTGGTTACTCTTCTCTGCACTTTTTCTAGACCCTCAACCATCTTTTTTTAGTGTGTGGTGACCAAAACTGGATGTAGTACTCTAGGTATGGCCTTACTAGGGCTTTATAGAGTGGTATTAGCACCTCACTTGATCTTGATTGTATCCCTCTGTTAATGCAATTTAGGATTGCATTGATTTTTTTTGGCTGCCGCTGCACACTGCTGGCTCATATTTAGCTGGTTGTCCACTAAGACTCCAAGATCCCTCTCACAGTCACTGCTGTTAAGCTCTACATTTGGAGTACATAGTAACTGGTACTACTAGAGGCAGAAAACAGAAACAGCAACTCTTTCAACCAACCATAAGACAAACGTATTCTTTTGTCCAATTCGCCAAGGCACAACTTGCAAAATTTGACCCCTCTGAGCCTACTACTACATCCTGCTCTGCAACAGTTAGGAATCTCAGCTACTAGAAACAAAAGTGTCCCAGGTTCAAATGTCACCTTGGATGTTAACTCAACAAAGGAGACTTTGCAGAATTCCTATTCTCAGACCCCCACCATAAAACATCAACAAAGATCACAGCCTGCCTTTATTGCTTTAAGGACTCTCTATTTGGATGTAAGGAACTTTGATGTGGTTATGTCTCAGCAGGTGGCCACAAACCTTTTTTGTTTTTTTTTAATGACGCTTGGCCATGCCAATCTGGATAGGAGGGCACTAAGAAATCCCAGAACTGTGGACTGGATAAAAGAAAGAAATAACAGTAATAATAAAAATCCCAAAAGGAAGCTGGAGCACATATCACTTTGCTATTATTGTCACACAAACACACACACCCTTTGCACGGTGTGTTCATGTAATAACTGAACTCAATTAAAGGGCACATTTGCCATTGCAACGTTAACCGTGACAATCAACACCACATGTATCATGTTTCCAGCTACAAAATACTGCTTCATTTGTATCAGCCATTCACACATTCACTACAGATTGTGACATTTGCCAAAATACAGTCCAGGATAATGATTCCTTCCAGTTGTCGAATTAATTTTTTTTAAAAAAGTAAAAAAAAAAAAGGCTATTCCATTTTTAAAAAAAGGCTGTTCCCCAAAAGCACATATACTTGGGATTAGGGTTTCTGAAGACAAAACACAACTTCGATACAGTTGTTAGAAGCTTCGAGAACCCTACTGGAGCTAAACCAAGTTCTAATACGAAGAAAAGAGATGGTATTCCTTAACAAAAGCAGCAGCCCTCAGAAAAAAAAATACCCTTCTTTATAGCAGACCCCACTTTTTCTCTTCGTTTTCTCTCATTCTGCAGGCAGAAGGCAATATGCATCTTGCCAAGAATCTAATTGCCTCCTGGAAGTGAAGCACTTATGAATTATAAAGGTATTTGGGAAGAGATAATGTTCTTCCCAAGAATGATGGAAGAAAAATTTGAATATTAAAAGGATTTGGTGTGGGGTTTTTGGTTGAGTTTCTTTTGCAAGCCTTCACAAGCAAACTTAAGACCTCCTTTTTTTTTTAATCAAGGGACTTTTATCTCCGATTCCAAAACTGGACTCCCCTCCCTCACACCATTTTTAATTAGGAAATCCCATCCTAATCTCCACCCACATCACCAGGAATTCAGGGACGGGAATTCCCTTTGCTCGCTGCAATAATAGGGGGGAGAGGGGAAGCTCTCAGGCAAGGCATCATTAAACTGGCCTACTTATTCTGGAAGACTCATACAAAGAATTCTTTCACACCACTCACAGTCTCCACAACCTTGTCAGAGCAGAGGTATATTTGCCACTCTTAGCTAATCATAAATTTCTGGCCTGGACATGCTCTGGTGCTTAGCTATGGCTCCTTCCCACAAGTCACTTTACCTCTGGGAAAGGAAGGGTTCTTCCCACAACCTTACGGCTTCCCTCTGCACCATGTATATAATCTGCAAAGTGTAGTCCAGCTGAAAACTGACCCCTCCTTCTTTGAGGCTCCCAGAGCAGAGAAAGGGCCCAGAGATTGAGGAATCACAAAAACACAATGGTCAGCAGCGGTGTATTAACCATTAAGCTGACTAAGCACGTACTTAGGACACCAGGCCCAAAGGGGTCACCACAAAGTATGAGAAAGAAAAAAAGCCAATGAAGATTTCTACAGTATGTACAAAGGGAGGGGGGGTCACCAAGATTTGTCAGTGCTCAAGGTCAGTCCTTAATCCACTACTGATGGTCAGCAAGAACAAAAAGAAATGATTCTCTGGAAGGGGCAGGGAGGCAAGAAGGGAAAATAATTTTCAAAACGAGATCAGTTATTGATTTTTCTTTCCGCATTCATTTGCTCTTCTTTTTCCACTCTTTTTCCTCTTGGAGAAAGAAAAAAGAAAGCTGTTGCTCTTGGTGGAGTTTTATTACACTGCAAAGTTCACCTGCCTACCCCAAAGGAACTGCAGCGCTGCAGAGGAGAATAAGCACTACTAATCCTGGATATCACTACCGAACACCCCCCCCCCAAAAAAAGTATTGTCCCTCGAGGCAAAATATCGTTCATAGTCAGACTTCAGCGGCATAATCCATAAAGGTTCTCATTTAGAGTTTGCAGTAAAATGATCGGACTATCCTGCCTGTTCATTTTCACACGCGTGTGCGCGCATACACACCCCACTCACCCACGGTAGCATTTCAGAGAGCCGAAGCGATTCCAAGGAGCACTGAGTGGCGAATGAAAGGACAGAAATGGTCCCAAGAAAAATGAGGTGACAAAAGTGGCCCAAAGGAAATGCAGACATTCTTTTTACAAAACACAAAGACCATTTTTCATCCGAAGCTCTTGGGATGTTGCAGTAATCCTTACGAAAAAGTACCATACATTATCATTCTTTCTTTTCCAGGTATAGAGATTGTCCAGGTGTCTAAGCCCAAATCTCCCCTCCATTCAGGGATAGCTACAATCTAGGAGTTCTACCCTCAAAGCTCATTTGCTTTACAGCGAGTCTAAGATATTCTCTTTCACTGCTTAAAGAAGCTCGTGCTAGACTGTGATTTGACAGATCGACAACTGTACCAAAAGCCCGCAAGTGTTCCAAGTTTAACTTGTTGTACCACAAGCTTCCAAATGGCATTGGACCTGCAGCACCAAGTTAAGGGTCTTAATCATCAATTTTTAAAATATATATATATATATATATATATAAATATTACATTTTTAGATTGAAATGTTTTAGGAAGCATACATACACACACAAACCTGTACAAGAAAAGCAACAACAAGCATCCATGGCTTTGATAGTCCTTTCCCCAGAATCCCATTAAATAGCAGCCGTTCACAAAAAAATGCTGCAATATTCCTTTGCACCAGCCATGCATTCAACATAATGGTCAGTGATATCTGTACTACGTAACAAATTGATTAAGAAAAAGAATCAATACAAGTTTCAGCCATAACCTTGAATAACTTTATTTTCCAACACTGGAAATTTCACAACTGCAATTTTGTTAAATTAATCCATTGCTAATTTTTCAAAACAAAAGAAAAAACATATTCCTAATTTTTTTTAAAAAAAGGGAGGGGGATATCATCTCAACTGGCATATAAGAACTTCTGAACCACTATGTCATTCAAAATCTGAATTATTCATCTATGCTGATTTAGAATTCTGTGCAAAATAATCATCCAATAATTTACAATCTCACCAAAGGTACAAAATTATTTCTACATTTTGTTATCCTGGAATATCATCCAATCAGAAAATATATGACATTTAAATTATCTTTGAAACTGACACCAAAACATGAAGTTGGAGAGAGAAACCATTTTTTTTTCAAATACAGGTTAAGTTCATGTTGTCATAAGCCTCAAATATCCAACATCTCCTAAGTCCTAAACTAAGACATCCCATCCATGATCACATCACTATTTATCTTAAATGTGCACAACAGAAAACTTGTTAACAAAGGCAACTATTTCCAACATATACGGCATTTACCCTGTGTCACTGACAATCAAATCTTCTGTCAAAGCCATTTCATGTTTACAATTCCTGCTTTATCTGATATTCATCTACATATACTACAGAACAGCACAATTCTGTTGCTGAGAAATCTTCCAATCACCTTAACTTTTTTTTATCTGCACCTCATTCTGCCGCCGCCGCCCCCCGCCCCCCGCCCCAAACTGCATCAGCACCCCCAAAGGCCAGGTAGTTGATTGTCTCATACCTGCAGTTCGGAGGTGGATCCAGGGTGATTTCGGCTAGCTCCTTCTGAATTCTGTTGGCAAAATGAGAATAGGCACAAAGCATTTGAGACAGTTGAATAAATCAGGGAATTACACTGCCCTCTACCACCATGCAGTTAAATGCAAGATTGGTTTTGCCTTCTGTAATGCTAACATGGCTGCTTCCTCTTTGTTCTCACAGGCACAACCCAAATCCCAGGACAGAGAAACTTTACAGCTTTTTTCCTGCTCTGTTATGGTAAACAGAGAGAGCATTTACACCTCAGCCTGGTAGGAATCCCTTCAGAGATCTCTAAAAAAGTGAGTCTTAGGAGTTTTCTGCATTCTTTATAAAGGATTTTTTTTTAATTAAAAAAAAATCTTATATGCAAATGAAACCAGAAAGGTAGGCAAGGGGAGGGAAAGAGGAAATACAATAAGATTTCAGAATGACTTTGTACCCATAACTGAAGGAGTTACATCCAAAACCCAATTACATAGTAGATAATTTTGACTGGATTTTTTCCTCCTCTTCCGACAGTGAATTTTACCATTTCAGTTCACTTCGTAACTATGCAGTCAAGTAATCAGAGCAAAATCAACTGATAACTTTAGATGCACGTTTCCCACTACCTTTCTTTCCTCTTTCCCAATATTTGTACTGAAGATTTGCTAAGTGACCCTGTTCAATAAAACACATACTGATATTATCAGTGATGGATCCAGCCCTAGACAGAATTTATAATGTGTCAGTAACTTAAAAAAAAATCAGTTTTATTACAGTTTAACAAAAAAAGGTATCAAAAGGATGGAAGGTCTGTAATTTATTCCCAAAACAAAATATTTTAGGAGAAGCAAATATTGAAAATTTTAAAACTTCAGACAATTTATCCTTTGTTGATATAAAATGCATTATTTTGCTAGATTAAACTAGATATAGTTTAAATAGTTAGACTTGTTCTCTACAAGAATTTATACAAGCTATAGAACTAAAAAGTGGGGACATTTCAACACCAAATAACATATTATGAAAACATTGTCATTTTCTCTACAAAAAACATATTGTACAAATTATTTTGTGACAGCAGCTGGCAAGTTACTTTAAATGCATCAGAAGGTTTTTTTTAAAGATTAATGTCCTGTTTTTAAAAAGATTTATCGTAACTATTTTATTTTCATTTATTCTCAATTTACTACATTATTTTAATTGAGAAATTGGTAAAAGCTAATATTGTTCTTACATAATGCAGGCAGAGCTTAAAGTACAAAGAAACATTTCAAGATTCCTAATGAAACTTTACTTTACAATAGCAACATGTTTCACCCACAAGCATACTGGCCCACTTACTACAAATTTTAACAAAAATGACTTGTACTTTAAAACTTGTCTGATGCCATTTAATAGACTACCAGATATTGTAATGTGGATTCCTAGGTGAAACAGAGCTTTAGGAAAAAGGATTGGTCATTTACCTCCAAAGAGGCAAGATTCAAGGTATTTCAAGCTTGCCCAACTCAAATGGCTATTAAAGAAAATCAAAAGCACATGTCCTTCTTGAAAGCAAAGCTGTGAAAAGCTCCACATGCAGATAGTGATATTGTTCACTTAGGGACAACCTGTAAAAGGTTCTCAAGTTTTTGAAACTTCACAGATCAAAGGAAAATCAATAGCTTGCTTGACCACAAAGGTAGGAGATAGCCAAGTTAACAGCCCTTCTTGCATTTCAATTACATACAAACCCACCCACCCTCAAATCCATGTTGACCTGCAAGGGTGCTCTAAAAGAAACAACCCCCACAGAATTCATATCACTTGCAAAACATCCTTTTCTTTTTCCAGAGCATCCAAAGAAACTCAATTGAAAATAAAACAGCCAATGAAAATGTCCTTAATTCAAGGCACCTCCCCCTCACCAAACAGCTATAAAAGATGGGACTCTAGAAATGGGCCTCCTTGTCTGAATCAACATGTGCATCAACAAGGTGTCACTCGTGCAGAAATACACATGGGCCAAGTGGACCAAACCAGAGCCCAGCAGAAGCCCAGAGGACCCCCTTCAAAGAGTGGGTTTCAACCCACATCATCACATGTGCTTTCCATAATAATGTAGTTCTCAGATTTAAGAACCTGCCTACACCAACCACCCACACCTCCATCTTGAACCTGGCAAATGGGTTGGGTGAAGAGATCCCAAAGAAATCCGAGCCAGAGGCCCTGCGGAAACTAGATTCTAACCTTAAAGCCATCTCTTATTACAGGCCTTTTCATCAAAGAGTAGAGTTTGCCCCTTTACATTAAGTGCCTTCTCCTGCTCCCTTTCCCCTAAAGAGGGAGGGAGGGAGGAATGTTTCAGGTGTTACCTTTTAGCACTAGTAGATAGTTTAGCAGTAGTTTTGCTGGAGAGTTTGGTATTTTTCTTCTGCTGTGTTGCAGAAGGTTTTCTTTCTTCCTGTTCCTCGGGCTCAGGTGCTGGTGGGTCCCTCTGATCTGCGTCTGAACTACCACTGCTGGTACTTGGGCTTTCATCATCTGACCTTTGTCTATCACTGGACATCTTGGGAAACGTTGGGGGAAAGGAGCAAAAAGAAAGAAATGGGACAAAAGAATATCAGTTAACTAAGTGGTGCAATCCACTCCATCCGAGTGGAATTACTCCAGACCCCCTTACAACTCAATGGTTGAACAATTCTTTTTAAAAGTTTCAGTTTCGTGTTATAGAGCAACAGTTACCATGAGGAAGGAAGGAAGGAATCTCTTTTTAAATATCTATTCTGTTTTCACCTCAGTTCTACATTTTTTCAGATAGTAAGATCAATCATTTAATTTTCATAGGCATGAGGCAAATTTCACAAAGTGTTCAAGCATAAGCATTGAATAACTCATGACACACTGTAAACATTGCCCCTTTTAAAGGAAAAAAAAAAACCCTCACAAATGCCCTGTAAATATTTACACTGGAGCAGGAGGAGTGAAGTCAACCATATTCTCCTCCTCCTCCTCCCAATATATTGCCAATAACAATACTTGAGCTGCTGTACAAATGGGGAGGCCCAAACCAAACCAATAAATGGCCCACTCCCTCTTGTCTCCTTCTATTTAAATAGCTGGAAAGGATTTGCTATTTCAGACTCCAATGTTTTTTTTTTTTCTCTGTCAAGAAATCAGCCAGCTCGGGTTCTGTTGGCACAGCCATCCACAAGAATTACATTTGGTCACTATAGAGTAGGCTGGAAATGGGGGGTGGGGGAGGGAGAGAGAGAGAGAGAGAGGGGGGGAGGGAGGGAGGGAGAGGAGGAAGAAGAAAAAGAAGAAGCATAATTCAAACTGCACCTTCTGGAAAGCTTTCAACGCCACCGAGTCTTGATCAGTTTCTACAAAACAGACCGACATATTTTTTTTCCTGCCCCCTCTTTTTTTAAAAAAAAATAAAAATAAAAAATTCCCGGAAATTGGAAATTGGGGAGTGGGAGGCGGTTGATATTGGTATTGTATAATTTAAAAAAAAAAAACGAGAAAGAAAGAAGGTTGGCTGGTCCTCGTCGGGAAAAAAAATTGCAGCAGCAGCAGGGCAAAAACTGAAGCTTTGCCCTCGTTCTCTCTCTCGCTCACACACACACACAAACAGACACACACACATACACAGCCGCCGTTGTCGTCGTCGTCGTCGTTTCTCTTTCCCCCCCTCGCCGCCCCCTCCTTCTCCTCCTCCTCCCCCTCCCCTCCTCCTCCTCCTCCTCCTCC